CCCACCCCCGATAATTTAACCATACCGTTTAGTGACCCTGCTTTCAAAGTATGAAGTAGGGGCTTAACCCACTATGCACGACTTTTTTTGTAATTGGTAGTTTTAGTAAGGTTTTACAACGCACGTAAGTGCATAAGGTCATATGAGCACCAAGGGTGGGTGTCAACAAAGAAGTCCAAACGGGGAATCAGGCTTACTCTGCTCATCTCTCTCGCCTCAACAACACAAGGTCTACTTTGACTATCAAGGCACCCTGGAAATAGCAATGCACAAGAGTGTGACAAACATACAAAAGAAGTAGGGGAAAATGACGATAGTAAGGATGAAGAAAGAAAAAGCAGCAGTTCCCCCCCCTATGTTCTTCCAGCACAGTACATGTATGAGCATGACATTGATAAATCAGGCCATTTACAATTTTGCTGTGCATAAAAACATGTTAATATCCTTCCTATTTTGGATAGGGAAAAGGTATGGTAAGTCTCCAAAGAGTTAGTTTTAGAGACCACGTTTTTCATATATCTTGGTAGACAACTCACTTCCGTGTAACCTTAAGGAACTGAACTGAAGCCTGTATCAAATTATATATTACCTATATTTTGCCATCGATGTTTCTACTTCTTTTCCCCTATTAGCCCTCAGAGTCAGAGATGTTATTTCATGATTAATATACATGCCATGGATACTTTTAAGAGCTATGTAGCGTTTCTGGGGTTTTCCATTCGAAGATAAAAGCAGAATAAATGTGTTACGAGATGTTGTCGTGCAGGGTATGACCAACGTTCGAATTTTCGCACTGTTTTGTTCTCATTTTCAAACGAGAGCCACGTTAAAAAAAATAACTCGTATTATCGCAAGCAGTATCATTTGGGGTAGGGTACCGAATAGGGTTATTGGACTAAAATTGTACACATGGGGGTAGAATTTGGGTTATGTAGAAATTTGATCTTTTGACCTCTGTCGGGTGGAATAACTGGGAGTTGGGGGGGGGGAGAAGGGGGAGGAGGAGGGAAAGTGGAGAGGGGAAAGGAGAAGGGGGAGAGGGACGGGGAGGGGGAGTGTTGGGGTGTTATTCTACCGTATTCTCATGAGATTGATAATAATACTGTAGCGTTAGAAAAAAAATAAAGTAACTGCTCTGCAGAAGAAAGAAAAAGCATAAGAAAAAACCCCGATGCCATGGAGTTTTCTTTCCCCACCCGCACAAGCTTGCTCTGCTCTAAACACTAATGTATTATTCTCCTGTGTTGAGAGCCTGGAGAGGCCATGAAAAACTAAGTAGACGTCTGGAGAAAATCAATAGGTTGTACAATTACTCCAAGTTTGTACAATCACCCTAGTTTTAGTTTAAGGATAGCAGAAATCTGTCCTCGTGGTTTTATGCACCCCGCATAATTTAGCAAAATTTGATAATATTTTGCATAAATTCTGATTATTTTCCTTTCTCATTCTTTGTGTTAAAATTAACAGAATCGCATACTTTCTCATTTTTGGGCTCAGTTTGCATAATTTCAGAATTTTTCTTGCATAAAACGACGGGGTCAGAGAAATTCTCATCTTTGGAGAAAGGATGGTTTGTGAAGTCACCCGAGCACCAAGGCGGGTACACAACTGTGGATGTTTTACATCCCACCATCAACAGAATGTGATCATTAAGGAGGCGGGCTGCTTCGACCTTGTTTGTCAGTAGCCACCCCGGGCGGAGAGGGATACAGCATCCCAGTAGAAAAAGTAGAAATTTGACAAGATAGACACCCTTAACCCTTAACATCACAAGAAGAGACAGGTAGAGAAGGGAAGAATTAAGAGCACCTGTTGGCACAGAGTTCTATCTGCATTTCACCTTAAAAAAAAAGAGATAATCTAAAAGAAATAATCTGGCCACCTCTTACAAATGTCACCTAGTCAGCCAGCCTCGAGAGCCTATAACACAAAGTAGGCCATACTCAGGCTATAAAGGAAGAGGTAGACCACTCAAAAGATGAATTGAGGGAGTCGAGGAAAGGAGGAGACATCCTTAGCTCTTTAAGGACGAAGCGAACACACATATAACGTCCAATCAGCAGCAGACCAAATGCAGTGTTTCGGCACATCCGAACCCTCCTACACAAATCGAACTATAAACATACATATTTCACAGTACTCATGTTGTTACCTGCCTTTGTAAGTTCTGATAAAGAAAACAGACCTGAAAATCCTGAATGACCAACGACGTCATCCTTCTTTTTTTTAAAGTGACCCAAAACTGCTCGTCTTCAAATGCACAAAATGAGTCCGAAATGAGTACAGTGGGAATCAAGCCCACGTGTTTTCGGCGTAACTGGGAAGAGCCCAACCACGACATCACAGACGTCGAGTCACAGTGAAAATGAGACACCAAACAAGTACTACTTAGTAAGACTTTAGGCCCCCAAAACTGGGATGATAATCATGAGGTGCGTTTAAGATGTAAAGTCTCAGGCGAAACAAAACATAATATGGACTAAAAGTTTTCGAGAAGTCATTAGTACAAATTAGAGCGAGGATGGCAGATAAAGATGAGAGATATAGGAATCCTCAGAGAAGAAGACAACACGCCGCTAGTGAAAGAGCAATAGGAAAGGGAGATCGAGAGAGTGAAGTAGAGAGAGAGAGAGAGAGAGAGAGAGAGAGAGAGAGAGAGAGAGAGAGACGGGGGTAGAGAGAGAGGGGGAGAGAGAGAGCGATACAATATTCCTGATACTACTACTACTACTACTACTACTACTGCTACTACTACTACTACTACTACTACTACTACTACTACTCATCATCATCATCATCATCATCATCATCATCATCATCATCATCATCATCATCATCATCATCATCCTTCCCACTGACAAAGTCCAGAAGACTTACAATTACATCCAAAGACATGTCTCGACACATCCAACACACAATACTTGTTCAAGACAAAAACAGAAAGAACGAGTAAAAAAAAACAACCCCGGTATTCCCACATGTTCCGTTCGCAGTTCATTATAACCTAATTCCCCTCTCCTGCTGGGTCGAGCTAAAAGCTACAAGGCATTTTCAAGTCGTAAAAGCGCCAGGGGAACGTGTGGGGTTTCCATGGCGACGCGTCCATCTGCCTGGCCATGCAGACACAGTCAGATCTCAATTTCCAAGGGGGATGTCAGTGCCACTTGACCGCCGCACGGTTCGTCTTCCCGCGTCCCCCCACGCGCGCCTGGTAATTAAAGCAATTGTCATTAAGACGGTGATTACAGGGATCGGAGGGGTGAGCCCTCATCTATTAAAAGATCTGCAGGCCGTTAGTGTAACCCAATCAGGGAGAGAAAGAGATAACTGGAGTTTTGGTTTCCTTAGGTAGTTCCGAAGCTGATTGCGCACAGAGGCACAAAGAAGAAAAAACAAGAGATGACATATTATATACATTATTTTGTCTAGCAATAGCCAAGAATAAGTCTATGACTGCGAAGATCTTGTGCAGAGTCGAAAGTCCTTTCAAGAGGATTTAGTTGTTCTTTTCTTTTTGCTTTTCTTTAAATTCTAAAATAAGTTTAACATT